GAGTTCATCCTACAGTTTTACTAAACCATATACATGTTAATTAAAATGATGTATTTTAGTTCTTTAAAGCTTTTATTTCATGTATTTTATATTTGTTTGATTTTGGTTGAAAATGGGAATTTTGTGGATTTTTATATTTTTGATAGAACAAATGTGGGGAGAAGGTTTTAAATACATTGGAAATGATTATTTCAAAGTCTTGATGAATTTTGGAACGTAAACCACAATGTTCATATGTTTGGGAAATTGTTGATAAAATAAGGATTCATATATACAAGATATGTTCAGATGACTACAATGCAATGGATCTATAGGCATAGAAGTCGTTTTTTGTGAAAAGCTTTCAGTCTCTCTTTCTTGTATATCATGACTTTAGCCCTTAGGGCCCTAGATTGTGAAGGGAATGAAACTCTTAACGGTAAATTGGAAAAAAAAAATCATTGTGATTATTATGTAATTTCCAATTCATCCCTTTACTACAGCATTGAAAATAGACATTGTGATTATTATGTAATTTTCAAGTGGACGAGTTTATGATCACAAGTATAGACTGGATTTGGTTGATATAAAGGATTATATACCTATAAGTGATGCTCATATAACATTGGCTTGTGGCCTACTTATGTGTTCCGTCACAAAGAATGGTAAATCGGGTCTTTCGCGTCATCTTCGGATGCTTTATGCCCTTTCAAAGGTAAGTGCGAATTAATTGTATAAATAACTTGATTAAAGCTTTGTTTTCGTTTTAAATGTTTTATAGGTTTATTCAATAAATTGTTTGTTCTCACTAGGCGTTAATCATAACATTTTTTCTCAAATGACATGTATATCAAGTTCTCTTAACAATGAGACACCTAAGTATTAAGTGAAGTGCTACGTGCAGATGTAGGCAAATTTTTACACAATCTTTTGGGAATCATTTTTGGAGTTACTAAAGTTACAATTAATCTGTTGAGGATTGTAGCGACGCCCGATTTGTAATCTAGATCTAGAATTGATTTAGAGTAGTAGGTTGTTAGCTACCTTCCATTACACTGTAAACTCTCATACTGTTTTCCCCATGAATTGGGTGATTTTGTCTTGCTCTAGTTTTAGTCCGCTTTGATTATTCAGGTTTAAATTGTCTCCTATTTTATAGGAGTGACAATATATATATATATATATATATATATATATATATATAGGAGTGATCAAATAAGAACCGCCTTC